AACGAAAGGTTAAATTACAAGTTTAATCTATGAACTTTAAACTTATTTAATAGGTTTCGAGAAAATATCGTGTCTAATACCTTCTCAAACAACAGACGTTATAATCTAGTTTAATTTATGAGAAGGAGAGATATCATTTAAAGAAGTGGTTAGACATGTTTTGTTTTTTCTTTTATGTATTAATTTTGTTGAAATTATTTAGATTGATTTTATGTCATGATTTTAAACCATGGGGATCTCATGTATACAAGTATGTCATGTTCATCGGGATACTTTCTCGTTATGTTATGTTAGTACGGACGTGTATCTTCGATATTTATGTTCGCTATGATGTCATGTGGGTCTTTCTCTTTCGTGGTGTCTAGCGACGCATTAGCGCGTTTAGCTCGACCAATCCAGGTTCAAGGGATACGTATAGAAGCTCGCTTGGTGGGTCTATGTGTACGTGTGTGGGAAAGTACCACACATTCAATCATTTGTAGCGCGCTCTATACTAATGACCTTGTTTTTGGCTGGACACCAACGAAGCATCTATCTTCGAGCCTCCAAAGATTACCGTCAATATAATAAATGCTTTGGAAAACCACAATCAACTTACTACCCACTGCAAATCCGGTGATGACGATCTGGGCATCCACAAGCTTCTTGTTAATGAGTTCGGATGAGATTTGTAACAATCGGGTTAGAAATAAAAAAAACATAGAAAGAGAAAGCGTCTTATTAATGAATTGGTGGGGTTTGTAACAATGGGTAGAGAGATCGATATTTGACACTCGAGTAAAGAGAGGTACATGTATGGACCGAGATCACATCCGAATGAAAGGAATCCTGAGAATAAGATGACTAAGAAAAGCCTTCTTTTTCGGTGGCTCAATTGCAAAAACTCCATGATTAAGCGTGTTTTACTTGGATCAATTCTATGTTGGGTAATCTCATGAGAATTTTTTTGAGATGCATGTGAGTGATGACAAAACATGTTAGAAGGACTTGTGTTGGTCGGGGAATAGGGGAATGTCGAGGCCATTCGAATTTCAAATTTCCAATCAACCAAACCTAACTCAACCCGTATATATCCCTAACCATGGTACCTCAAACTCTTATATATTTTATATAACTCAACACGTGGGGCGAGAAATCAACGATTTAATCTCTGGGTCCAAGAGTATTTACTATAACTAGTTGATCTATACTCAGACTAATAACATACAATTTCATCAAGTACGAAGGTTGCTTCACGTTACTAGGGTTTGTTCGGTAAGATGATGACAAATCACATGAAACTCACATGCTTCACTGATCCTCGTCAAAACAACCATTCTAATCTCTGGGTCCAAGAGTATTTACCATAACCAGCTGAACTATGTTCGGACTAACAACATATAGTTTCATCAAGTACGAAGGTTGCTTCACGTTACTAGGGTTTGTTCGGTAAGATGATGACAAATCACATGAAACTCACATGCCTCACTGATCCTCATCAAAACAACCATTCTAATCTCTGGGTCCAAGAGTATTTACTATAACCAGCGAACTATGTTCGGACTAACAACATATAGTTTCATCAAGTACGAAGGTTGCTTCACGTTACGAGGGTTTGTTCGGTAAGATGATGACAAATCACATGAAACTCACATGCTTCACTGATCCTCGTCAAAACAACCATTCTAATCTCTGGGTCCAAGAGTATTTACTATAACCAGCTGAACTATGTTCGGACTAACAACATATAGTTTCATCAAGTACGAAGGTTGGTTCGTGTTACTAGGGTTTGTTCGGTAAAATGATGAGAGTCATGTGAACCTCACGTGCCTCACTGAATCCCCATCAAAACAACCAACCATCCCTGAAAACTAATAAATACAAATCAAACAAAACAACAGTTCACAGATCTGCACTATTGCATGCAATTCGCTCACTTCTTTCTCATTGTTTGCAATGAAACCAAACCTGAGATCCAAATTTAATGAAATTTCTCTGTTCGAGGCTGAAACACATTTACTACAATACCCTTTTATTACTCTCAACTGCCTCTTCCTCTCAATTTTGCTATATAAAATCCCATCTCCATGCATCAAAACTTCATCTAGAGAGTAGACAACCAAAGCCATGGTGAAGATTCACGTTGTTGTTGTCGTGGTCGTGTTTGTTTTGCTTGTCGTGCATGCAAATGGACGCAACGTTCCAGGTTGTTAAACTATCACTAAACTCAAAAGTTTTATAAAACGAAGAAAATGTTTGTGTTGTTAATATTTTAAATACAGGTGGTGGTAGCGGGGATGGGGACGGAATGCTAGACCTGGCTGTGGCACCGGTAGCGGGTCAGCCGAGCAGCAATGATGTCGACCAAAAGAATATCTATGGTGGGGTTGGAGGTTTTGCAGGGATGGGTGGCTACATCGGAGGATTGTTTCCACATCTTGGTGGGGTTGGTGTAATTGGGAAGTACGGCGGAATTGGTGGCGGGATTGGCTTTGGTCACGGTGGCTTTGGAGGCGGAGTTGGCGGCGTCGGCGGCGTAGGTGGTGGAGTTGTGCCATTTCCTTGAGCAATGGTTATGTTATTAATGTGTGTGTTTTGTTTGTGTAATGGTTCAATTTTCTAAAATTTGTGGTAATGTAGAATCTTTTTTCCCTTATATTTGCATTATTTTCTATTTTTATGCTTTTGAGTTGATTTTAAATAATTTATTTATTTATAAAAGTTAAAATTTTAGATTCTAAAACACATAATTGCCCTTTGATTACGTGTGAGATTCCACGTTGGTTGGAGATGGGAGCTAAACGTTTTTTTTATAAGAGTGTGGGAACCTCTCCTTAGAATACGCATTTTAAAACTGTGATGTTAACAAGAATACGTAACCAGTTAAAGTGGACAATATGTGTTAGACACCGAGCGGTTTGTTAACGATGACGCTAGGCCTCCAAAGGGGGTGAAATGTGAGATCTCATATCAGTTGTAGAGGGGAACTAAACATTCCTTAAAAGGATGTGAAAACCTGTCTCAAGAAGATATCTTTTGAAACTGTGAGGCTAACGACGATACGTAACGGGTCAAAGCTGACAATATGTAACGGACTAGTCGATAATTTTGAATGATTTTTATCGTAACGAGATCTTCAACTTTAGTGAAAGAACCAAAATCAAATGCAATAACAAATTTCAAAACACACACACGAGGGAGAGAAATTTGCGCAAGCGGAAGCTTGAAGAAGGAACTGGTTCAGTCAGTTCAGCTAGACCGATGGTTCATTCAGACCAGGTCTTGCCCCTATTTTGATCGAGTTGACCCTTTTTTTACCGTTTCTTGAGTCGATTTTAGTTGTGTTAACATTATAATTTTAGGGTTTAATTGAGAAATTTTGGAAAATTTAGTAGATGAAAATTGAAGTTCAAATTAAAATATATCGATGTTTTGATTTTCTTTTCGAAATATTTCAACTAAAAACTTGATAAAATATTATATATATATATATATATATATATAATTTGTTTATGAAATATATTGATTTATTAGAATTTTTTTAAAACTTTAAAATAACTATTTTTAGAAGAATAAACGATGAAAAATTATCTATTACTCAATTTTAGTAAATTAATTTAAAAAATAAATAGAAAATTTCGCAGAGATGGAAGGCTTCCCCGTCTCCACCTCTTCTTGTGTATATCTCTAATATTAATTTAATTACTAATTTACGTTTATTATTTTATTAGTGATGATAGATAGATGTTTATTAGTCGTTGCCGTTTATCATAACGACAATTTAGCTGTTAAAATATCTCTGAATGAAGAAGCGAATTAAAAAGAAAAAATAAAAAAATTGTGTTATTTACAAAATAATAATTATGTTGCTATATTTGCAAATATGGACAATGAATATGCACAAATTATTTAAATTAAATTACAAGATTACCCTTAAAGTAATTTAAAGGTTAGAAACTCTCCTAATAATTTCTAGGTTTTTTATAAAATGGATTTTATCTCATCATTTAACTAAAATTTTAAATTAACCAATTATTTCATTAAAAAGTAGGGCAATCCAATGCTTTTTTAATTTTAAAATTAAGATTATTTCCTTATTAAATAAAGATTATTTATTAACTAATGAAAAAAAAAAGGAAAATAACCATATTCTTATCTTTTATGTAAGATAAAAATAAAAAATAAAAAATAAAAAATAAAAAATAAAAGAAATAAAAAAAACATGTAACATTTACTAACATACCATAAGGTTATTTCAGAATTGTCACATTTGGAAAGATAATAATTAAAAAAAAACAGTCAACTAAAGGAATATCATAATTTTTATTTATTTTATTTATTTACTTTTTAATTGTTGAGGTCGTTGCTAACTTAGGATTATACCGACGCGTTTTCTACTGCATGACAGACCATGACTCTTTTTTAAAGGTAAAAACAAAATTACATGCCATATCAAATTAGGGTACAGCGGGAATGAGATAGCTTCTCTATTTCCGTCTCCGTCTCTACCCTCTATTTTTATCACCAAAATTCTCTGTTAAATTTTGTGGGTTGAAATAGAGAGAGCGTGACCGATTAGAGAAAATTGTTATTTAAACGGTTAATTTCTTTTTTTAAAATTCATATCAAATTATTTAATTATATTGTTTAACTATAAAATTCTAACCTATCCAATATATAATCACTTTTTTCAAATAACCATTATGCATTATTTTTTTTTTTTTGGACAATAGGGTGGTGAAATTCCTTCTTTTTCATACCACTATAATATTGTCATTTTTAATATAAAAAAGTGGTTTTTTTTTTTTTTTTTTTTTTTTTTTTTTTTTTTTTTTTTTTTTTTTTTTTTT